ATATCGTGGACACTAATGAGAGTGACTCTGCGGAGGCGTGGAGCAAATATGAAATTTATGGCGAGCCAGCCCCTAAGAGTGAAACCAATCAACCTCAGAACGATAATATTTAAGGGCGCAAAATTGTTATAATTATCAGCCGTAGACTCGACTATCATCGTGTCAAATGTCAGCTACCTCGCCCTTCTAGAACATCACTAGAATGTGCATCAGGCTGTCGTGATCTGCCTGTCTGTATCGTATGTACGAGACAATATTAAGCACTTCATATGCTCGTATAAAACACACACAAAATACACAACACCACGCGTACGTTTATGTACAAACACACAAAACCTATACGTAACCATGGCAACACATCGCCAGGTGAACACACAACATTAACGTCATAAGAACCACAAGTATCCGCATGATAACACGCAATCAAATGACGTAGCATATCACGCAATATTCCAAAGCGTACAGAAACACAAAGATGATCACGTAATACACAACACACTCAAGATATTACTGGGAGGAACCACCTGCTTCCATCAGCCCACAGGGGATTATTGTGTCCGTCCGTCGTGCATACAAAAATGGGAGGGGTGGGGCTGGGGGGAGAGGGGAGGGTGGAGAGGGACTGGGTGGAAAGGGTGGGGAGGGGCTGGGTGGGGAGGGGCTGGGTGGGGGGTGGGAGGGGTGGGTGGGGAGGGGCTGGTCACCCCGTGGTGCCCTTATAAAACTCAACGTTTAACCTACTCACGCCGGCTTGTGCCCGCCCTCTCAGTCGGCCAAATTTGCGGAATACACCACGCCGCCGTTGACCCTGGACATTGACCGAGCAACCCAACGTTCCTACCAGCTCCCTCCGCAGGAATGTGTTACACAACGCCATGCACAAACACACACGCCACGCGCGCACAGACTGCATGTCGGAGACAATGCCATACACATTACACACACACCCCACATATTACACATACACCACACACTACACACTACACACACCCCACACACACTACACACTACACACACCCCACACACCCCCCACACACCCCACACACCCCCCACACACCCCCCACACTACACACACACACCCCACACACACCACACACACACCCCACACACACCACACACAGACCCTACACATTACATACACACAGACCCCACACATTACATACACACACTCCACACACACTACACACACTGCACACACACTACACACACACACCCCACACTGCACACACACCACACACACCCCACACATTGCACACACACCACACACACCCCACACATTACACACACACTACACACACACCCCACACACACCCCACACACACACCACACACATTACACACACACGCGGCTGTCAACCCATACGGCGTACAGCCATTTCAATACGAGCACAACAAATATATTTTGTCTATTTGTTTGTGTTTCTCCCTTGTGATGGGAACTTTGTAGGATGAACGTTGAGATGTATAAGGGGCCACGGGGGGTGACCAATAGGGTCTGAGTTTGTCTGTAACAAGGTTGGGGGCACTGATAAGGGGATGCCAGGTACGCACACATAGCTCCAGGTGATAATGTAACACAATCGGATGATTCTTCTTCTTGGTTCTTTCGGTAAAGTCACGTAGAAGGGAAGTAATAAAATAATAAAAATTAAACATAATAAAATTATTCAGAGTCAGACTCTGTCGCCTCGACGGACCTGGTTTTCGCCTGAGGACGGCTGCTTGCGTTGTGGCCGAAACGTCGTGAGAATAATTTTATTATGTTTTATTTTTATTATTTTATTACTTCCCTTCTACGTGACTTTACCGAAAGAACCAAGAAGATGAATCCCTGCAGTCACGAAAGCTTTAAATCAAAAATCGGATGATTACCACGACGCCAACACAGAAGGACCCACACGACTGCACTCATCGATTTGCACGCCACAAGGCACAAAAGATGATATCACCCACAACTTCAAACCCAGAATATATATCATGCACACAAAGCAAAGGAGAATATGGTATATAAAATTATTGTGCAAAAAACTAATCTGGATGACATACACACACAATTGCAAACACATAAACTGGTAACAATGGAAAGGCACAGGCCAAAAGAAAACATGACGTCACACATTTTTACAATCGGTCCCAAATAATTAACATAATCAATACACACGCCACACACAATACACGAGGATGATATCAACAGTCCACAGCTTATAGATACGAAAAACACAACCCTAAATACACAACACACGCACTGTAAAAACATTACGTGACAGCTCCGGCTGATACATAAAACACACAACAGCAGCGTGATAACATTTCACACACAAAGAAACATTCAGACACAAACCCGTCCTGCAGACAGACATACACAACCCATGCTGCACACAGACACACACACAGACACACACACCCCATGCCACACACACAGACACACACACACCCCATGCCGCACCCACAGACATACACACACCCCATGCCGCACCCACAGACACACACACACCCCCTGCTACACACACAGACACACACACACCCCATGCTGCACACACAGACACACACACACACCCCATGCTACACACACAGACACACACACACACCCCATGCTACACACACAGACACACACACACCCCATGCCGCACCCACAGACACACACACCCCATGCCGCACCCACAGACACACACACACCCCCTGCTACACACACAGACATACACACACCCCATGCTGCACACACAGACATACACACACCCCATGCTACACACACAGACACACACACAGACACACACACCCCATGCCGCACCCACAGACACACCCACAGACACACACACCCCATGCTACACAGACACACCCACAGACACACACAGACACACACACAGACACATACACCCCATGCCGCACCCACAGACACACACACAGACACACACACACCATGCTACACACACAGACACACACACGCCCCATGCCGCACCCACATACAGACACACACTCACCATGCCGCCCCCACAGACACACACAAAGACACACACACACACACCCCCATGCGACACACACACACCCCATGCTGCACACACAGACACACACACCCTATGCCGCACACACAGACACACGCAACCCATATGACACTAACACAACCCATATGACACTAACACAACCAAATCAAACACACAACGCAGGCAACACGACATCACAAAAGCACACAACGCAAAGCAACCTGCAGAAGAACGAACGCCCCAAGCTCTTTACGCACACAAACACACACACCGACCTGACGATACACACGTGAACACGTAGACACACACACACGTGACGAGGCATAAACATATTTATATCAATCCCACACAACCATCAACATCACAACCATCAACATCACACACAGGAATTTGCATACAACGCCCCACGCTTCGTGCACACAAATACAAACATAGAAAGACAAAGATCCCCCCAATAGCCTGCACAGACTGTTTGGGGCAAGTGCTGTTAGCGAGTAGCAGCGCCTTTGAAGGGCGGCAACCGTGGGGTGGCCAACACCACGCCCGGCCGCCTTTGTTTCCCCCAGTGGCGATGCTTTTACGCACAGCACCAGGTTCTCGTTTGAGGCCGAGTCGACCTAGGGGAGGCCCGGCCGTGGGCGCTACAATTTGCAAACACACCATGCTGGTGGCATACACACAAATACAAACCCCCCTTAGACACACACACACACTATGACGAGAGACAATCTAAATCACACACACACACACCGACACACACACACCGACACACACAATAGCATTGTTAACAACAAAACAATGGACCGTACCAGACCACAGCGATCTGCCAATATCGAAACAAAGACGAAGATCGCCCCCGTTACGGCCCTGGTTTTTTTTGACAGATTGTAAAAACCTTATACGCGTCGGAGCTAACACAAACACAGACGCCAACAACAACAACAATAATCACGGAACGATTTAAAGGAATCATCTGGTGACGGCGATTATGCCGCTGCTGCTGCATTGTCAGTTGTGTACCAGCACAGACAACAACAACAACTCAACGGGTTAGTCAAGCACAACATCGGTTGCCTTAAAAGGAGAAAACAAGATTTAAAAAAACAGGCGACGTTTTGGGCAAATCACCTTCGTCACGGCACAAACACCAACACAGAGAAAAGCATATGTGCCGTGGAGGGCTGTCGCCCGAAACGTCGCCTCCTTAATATTTTATTTTTTTCTCTCCTTTAAAGGTCACGGGTGTTATCGCTCGCTGAACCATCACGACGACGACGATGATGTTGTTGGTGGTGGCATTGAAAGACAACAACGACGATGATGTTGGTGGTGGTGGCATTGAAAGACAACAACAATAACAACGATGTTGGTGGTGGTGGTGGCATTGAAAGACAACGATGTTGGTGGTGGCATTGAAAGACAACAACAATAACAACGACGACGATGATGTTGGTGGTGGTGGTGGCATTGAAAGACAACAACAACAACGTACCACGGCCCTTCAATCCACACCACTGCTTCTTCTCCATTGTGGCTCGGGTGACCAGACGATGGAAAAACAAAAAAAAACGAGAACCGAGTAGCGCCCTAATAAAGGCTTTGCCCAACCAGCAGACAAAAGGCGTTGCTATTATATATTATATATGTGCGTGCGTGAAAGTCACAAGCGTCTGCAGCTGTTAGGAGCAGCAGCAGCAGCGGGCAGGCAGCAGTGGGCAGGCGAAGCTGGAACAGCGCGACAGAGCGAGAGAAGCCGATGATGCTGCTGCTGATGCTGCTGCTGATGATGCTGATGATGATGATGCTGATGATGATGCTGTGAATGTGAATGTGCGGCCGAACAGTTCGTGTGTGTCGTCGCACGCCACCGCCGCTGGCTTCACGCTGCTAATGACGCCAGAAAAACGTGGGGGGGGAGTGGGATGGAGAGTGTGGGCGGAGGGAGGAGAGAGAGAGAGCGTTGGAGCGTTTAAAGCAGAGGAAGAACGGTGGTGGGGAGGCAGGGCTGGCCCAGCAAGGGAGAGCTGGGTAGGTGGGGGGGGGAGAAGTGGGAGGGGAGAGAAGAGACGTGAGAGGGAGGGGAGGGAGAATGAGTGGTTGAATTGTGAGAGGGGTGGGTTGGGAGAGAGGGTGGGTGAGAGAGAGGGTGGGTGGGTGGGTGAGAGAGAGGGTGGGTAGGTGGGTGGGTGAGAGAGAGGGTGGGTGGGTGGGTGAGAGAGAGGTGGGTGGGTGGGTGGGTGAGAGAGAGGGTGGTGGGTGGGTGAGAGAGAGGGTGGGTGGGTGGGTGGGTGAGAGAGGGTGGGTGGGTGGGTGAGAGAGAGGGTGGGTGGGTGGGTGAGAGAGAGGGTGGGTGGGTGGGTGAGAGAGAGGGGGGTGGGTGGGTGAGAGAGAGGGTGGGTGAGAGAGAGGGTGGGTGGGTGGGTGAGAGAGAGGGTGGGTGGGTGGTGGGTGGGTGAGAGAGAGAGAGGAGGGTGGGTGGGTGAGAGAGAGAGAGAGGTGGGTGGGTGAGAGGAGAGGGTGGGGGGTGGGTGAGAGAGAGGGTGGGTGGGTGGGTGAGAGAGAGGGTGGGTGGGTGGGTGGGTGAGAGAGAGGGTGGGTGGGTGGGTGGGTGAGAGAAAGGGTGGTGGGTGGTGGGTGAGAGAGAGGGTGGGTGGGTGGGTGAGAGAGAGGTGGGTGGGTGGGTGAGAGAGAGGGTGGGTGGTGGGTGAGAGAGAGGGTGGGTGGGTGGGTGAGAGAGAGGGTGGGTGGGTGGGTGAGAGAGAGGGGGGTGGGTGGGTGGGTGAGAGAGAGGGTGGGTGGGTGAGAGAGAGGGTGGGTGGGTGAGAGAGAGGTGGGTGGGTGAGAGAGAGGGTGGGTGGGTGGGTGAGAAAGAGGGTGGTGGGTGAGAGAGAGGGTGGGTGGGTGGATGAGAGAGAGGGTGGGTGAGTGAGAGAGAGGGTAGAGAGGGTGGGTGAGAGGGAGGGTGGGTGGGTGGGTGAGAGGGTGGGTGATAGAGAGGGTTGGTGAGAAATAGGGTGGGTGGGTGGGTGAGAGAGAGGGTGGGTGGGTGGGTGAGAGAGAGGGTGGGTGGGTGGGTGAGAGAGAGGGTGGGTGGGTGGGTGAGAGAGAGGGTGGGTGGGTGGGTGAGAGAGAGGGTGGGTGGGAGGGTGGGTGGAGAGAGGGTGGGTGGGTGGGAGGGTGGGTGAGAGAGAGGGTGGGTGAGAGAGAGGGTGGGTGAGAGGGTGGGTGGGTGGGTGAGAGGGTGGGTGGGTGGGTGAGAGAGAGGGTTGGTGAGAGATAGGGTGGGTGGGTGAAAGAGAGGGTGGGTGGGTGAGAGAAAGGGTGGGTGAGAGAGAGGTGGGTGGGTGGTGAGAGAGGTGGTGGTGGCGTGAGAGAGAGGGTGGGTGGGTGGGTGGGTGAGAGGAGAGGAGTGGTGGGTGGGGGGTGGGTGAGAGAAAGGGTGGGTGGGTGGGTGAGAGAGAGGGGGGTGGGTGGGTGGAGAGAGAGGGGTGGGTGGTGGTGGGTGAGAGAGAGGGTGGGTGGGTGGGTGAGAGAGAGGGTGGGTGGGGTGAGAGAGGGGTGGGTGGGTGAGAGAGAGGGTGGGTGGGGTGGTGAGAAAGAGGGTGGGTGGGTGAGAAAGAGGGTGGGTGGGTGAGAGAGAGGGTGGGTGGTGGGTGAGAGAGAGGGTGGGTGAGTGAGAGAGAGGGTAGAGAGGGTGGGTGATGAGGGAGGGTGGGTGGGTGGGTGAGAGGGTGGGTGATAGAGAGGGTTGGTGAGAAATAGGGTGGGTGGGTGGGTGAGAGAGAGGGTGGGTGGGTGGGTGAGAGAGAGGGTGGGTGGGAGGGTGGGTGAGAGAGAGGGGTGGGTGGGTGGGAGGGTGGGTGAGAGAGAGGGTGGGTGGGTGGGAGGGTGGTGAGAGAGAGGGTGGGTGAGAGGGTGGGTGGGTGGGTGAGAGGGTGGGTGGGTGGGTGAGAGAGAGGGTTGGTGAGAGATAGGGTGGGTGGGTGAAAGAGAGGGTGGGTGGGTGAGAGAAAGGGTGGGTGAGAGAGAGGGTGGGTGGGTGGGTGGGTGAGAGAGAGGGTGGGTGGGTGGGTGGGTGAGAGAGAGGGTGGGTGGGTGAGAGAGAGGGTGGGTGGGTGGGTGAGAGAGAGGGTGGGTGGGTGGGTGGGTGAAAGAGAGGGTGGGTGAGTGAGAGGGTGGGTGAGTGAGAGGGTGGGTGGGTGAGAGAGAGGGTGGGTGAGAGAGAGGGTGGGTGAGTGAGAGAGAGGGTGGGTGAGTGAGAGGGTGGGTGAGAGGGTGGGTGGGTGGGTGAGTGAGAGGGTGGGTGAGAGAAAAGGTGGGTGGGTGAGTGAGAGAGGGTGGATGGGTGAGAGAGAGGGTGGGTGGGTGGGTGGATGGGTGAGAGAGAGGGTGGGTGGGTGGGTGAGTGAGTGAGTGAGAGGGTGGGTGGGTGGTTGGGTGAGAGAGAGGGTGGGTGAGAGAGAGGGTGAGTGAGTGAGAGGGTGGGTGAGTGAGTGAGAGGGTGGGTGGGTGGGTGAGAGAGAGGGTGGGTGAGAGAGAGGGTGAGTGAGTGAGAGGGTGGGTGAGTGAGTGAGAGGGTGGGTGGGTGAGTGAGTGAGAGGGTGGGTGGGTGAGAGAGAAAGTGGGTGGGTGAGTGAGAGAGGGTGGATGGGTGAGAGAGAGAGGGTGAGTGAGAGGGTGGGTGAGTGAGAGGGTGGGTGAGTGAGTGAGAGGGTGGGTGGGTGGGTGGGTGAGAGAAAGGGTGGGTGAGTGAGAGGGTGGGTGAGAGGGTGGGTGGGTGAGTGAGAGGGTGGGTGAGTGAGAGGGTGGGTGAGAGGGTGGGTGGGTGAGTGAGAGGGTGGGTGAGTGAGAGGATGGGTGAGAGGGTGGGTGGGTGAGTGAGAGGGTGGGTGAGTGAGAGGGTGGGTGAGAGAGAGGGTGGGTGAGTGAGAGGGTGGGTCAGAGAGAGGGTGGGTGAGTGAGAGGGTGGGTGAGAGAGAGGGTGGGTGAGTGAGAGGGGGGGTGAGTGAGAGGGTGGGTGGGTGAGTGAGAGGTTGAGTGATGGCTATGTGGATGGTGGGTAGCTGTTAGAGACGAAAGGGATGCATGGAGGGTGAGGGAGCAGAATGCTGAGTGGGAATCTGGGCTGCAAGGCGAAAGGGGAGACATGGCTTATGGACTTGGACCAAATCAGCAGGTATGCGCCCGATCTCATCAGATCTCTCAAGCTCAGCCGGGCTGTGCCTGGATAGACAGACAGACGGGTGGGTGGGTGGGTGACCACCAAGCGTTGTCAGTGGCGTCTGTGGCAATACATTGTGGGCGGCAGAGGGCAGCGCAGAAACAATCCACTGTTGTACTGCACTCCTCATCGCGCTGCGGTGGCTATGCACGTGGCCTGTCTGCAATCCAGCAATGTGGAGGTAGCAGCGAGGGCTTGCTGGGTTACACACAAATGCTGCGAAACGGGCATCGCCAGGTGCAATAACACCCTGCCTGGCTTGCCGCGTAGCGGAACAGAAAAAGTGTGGACTGATTTTCCCTCCATCTGTACGGGATCGTGTTGTCTCCCCTCGAATGCGTGGGGGTTTCTCCGGGTGATCCATCCCCCCCCCCCCAAGTGGAAACACTCAATTCATTAGACGAAAACATCTTAATACATAGAGGACCACAGAGCTTTGGGGTGGTAGGGGTTGATTTGGCACCGGCTCCTCCTCCCAGCACCTCTGGGTCTTTCTCTCTCTCTCTCTTCGAGGGCGGTGCTTTAGTATTTCAAATTGAACGTTGTTTCGATTATCATTATTAGTATTTACAACAACAAAATTGCGGTTTGGTTTATTGAGTGGGGTGAAAGTTCGGTGGCCCGGATGGGAGAGATGCAGTAACGAAATCTATATGGTGCGAGGCTTAGGAAGGGAGACATTAGGAAGCAATGTGTGAGGGTGGGAGGAAAACTGTCTGGTACTGGTAGTAACCTCCTGGTTACACCAGCCCACAGGGGATTATTGTGTCCGTCCGTCGTGCATCCAAAAATGGGAGGGGTGGGGCTGGGTGGAGAGGGGAGGGTGGGGAGGGGCTGGGTGGGGAGGGGAGGGGTGGGTGGGGAGGGGAGGGTGGGGAGGGGCTGGGTGGGGAGGGTGGGGAGGGGCTGGGTGGGGAGGGAGGGTGGGGAGGGGCTGGTGGGGAGGGGAGGGGTGGGTGGGGAGGGAGGGGCTGGGGAGGGGGTGGGAGGGGTGGGGCTGGGTGGGGAGGGGCTGGTCACCCCGTGGTGCCCTTATAAAACTCAACGTTTAACCTACTCACGCCGGCTTGTGCCCGCCCTCACAGTCGGGCATATTTGCGGAATACACCACGCCGCCGTTGACCCTGCAGGCCATTGACCGAGCAACCCGACGTTCCTACCAGCTCCCTCCGCAGGAATGTGTTTAAATCAGAGGAGGCTTTTACGTTTGTGGTAGATGTATAACGCTCAGTAAGAGAGTGGTGGCGCGGCGGTGAGCGTACTGCGCTATGAGAACCAGACAAAGCAGAGTTCGATTCCCAGCCAGTGACATCTGAAGCGATTCTGGGCACGGACCAGCGCGGTGAAGTATGGCTCAAAACAAACATTCCCATGACCCGCACGGCGTAGCGAGACCTTTATCCAGCAGTGGACAAAGGGCTGTACGTGCACATTATAAAACACTGGCCAAAAACATCCCATTGCAGGGCCCTCCTCCTCCTCCTGCGCAAAGAATGTTGAAACTCAGCCAGACTTTTCTGGACAATAATTACGGGGAGTAGTGGCGTAGCGGCTGGCTTCACTGTGCCGTGAAACCAATTGAGCCGAGTTCGGTTACAATCCAAGACCCGCATTATTAGCACCAGTAGGCAGGGTATGAGGGAAGGGAAATGATGTATGTAGGGAAATTAATATGGGTGTAAGGGTTTAGAGGGAGCGATGCAGAGAGGGGAGGGGTTGTAAGAGGAGGGGAGACATGGTGGGAGGGAGGCAGGGAGGGAATATTGGAGGGATGTCGTGAGATGGAGGAGGGGAGAGAGACACTGGTACAGGGATAGAGAGGGTGGTAGACAGAGTGCGGTACAATGCTGAACTGAAAATCATTAAATATGAATTGGGAGGAATGCAGGCAGGATGGGAGGCAGGGAGACGAGAGGGAGGGGGGTATGGGAGGGATCTCGGGAGATGGGGGGGGGGGGTGCTGATACAAGGTGTGGTGCAATGTCAATGGAAGAGAGTGGGATGCAATGTGGATTGGAGGGATGGGGCACGATGGGAGGGATGGAGGGAGATGGGGGGGGGGAGATGCTGATACAGGGTGTGGTACAATGTCAATGGAAGGGAGTGGGATGCAATGTGGATTGGAGGGATGGGGCACAATGGGAGGGATGGAGGGAGATGGGGGGGGGTAGAGATGCTGATACAGGGTGTGGTACAATGTCAATGGAAGGAGAGTGGGATGCAATGTGGATTGGAGGGATGGGGCACAATGGGAGGGATGGAGGGAGATGGGGGGGGAGAGATGCTGATACAGGGTGTGGTACAATGTCAATGGAAGAGAGTGGGATGCAATGTGGATTGGAGGGATGGGGCACGATGGGAGGGATGGAGGGAGATTCGTGGGAGACGCGGGAAAGAATGGGAGGGTCTAGAACAGGGAGCAGCAAACGAAATAACAAGAAGAGCCATTTTTGTTTTGTTTAAAATTCTGCAATAAACGCAAGATTTCGAGCGCCGCATGCGATGCCCTTAAACAGCCACCGCATGCGGCTCCTGGGCAGCAGGTTGACGACCCCCCACCCCCCCCCCCCTGGTCCAGGAGGATCGAGGCAGCGATGCAGAGAGAGAGAGAGTGTGTGTCAGGGTGTGGCACAACGAAAATGGGAAGAGGTGGGCTGCAATATGGAAATGAAGGATGCGGGATAGGTGGGGAGGTATGGACCTTGTGGTGGGGAGGGATGATGCAGGGAGCGGGTGAGGCGCAGGGCGTGGTGGTGGTGGTGGTGTGAATGGGTGGGGGGTGGGGTGCAATTTGAATTGGAGTGGTGCTGGCAGGATGGGATGGATGGAGGAGGGGAGGCTTGCAGGGTGCATGGTGGGGGGGAGGCATTGCAACGACGGCCTTCAATGCACCAGAAGAGGGTGCCGCTGTCTGCTTTGCACACTGCGGGTGACCCGCCCTTCACAATAAAAGCCAACTTCGGTCCACCTCCGTAAGAGTCCCTTGGGCAGCCCCAATTGACAACGGTTCCATTCGAAAATCTTAATGTATTCTTCGATCGAATTTGAAGTCCACGCGTGTCCGCTCTGCACGTCTGCCCCGCCTGTCTCTCTGCCTTTGTTCATTAAGCCTCGGATAGGCCGATATGAACCGGTGCCAATGCCTGCAAACTAAAGTATCAACTCTGGCTCTTCGTGCACACGGACAATAAACATGTCAACAACATACAATATCTGCACAGTCGAGCAAATGGGCAGTGATCATCACCGTCGGTGGCCCTCCGTCAATGTTGTCAATTCCACGTTACCATGCTGTGGGCGGGGCAAGTATATCCATTGGGCAAACACAAATGTCGAGTGGTACTGCATATTTACGACTAAATTGAGCCGAGAATGTCTGTGTGTCCCGCGCGTGACGTCACTTCACAGCGGCCAGACCCCCTAATTAATAATCATGAGCAGGTGACGTCACTCCATGTCGAACAGCCCCCCTCATTAATAATCATGAAGAGGTGACGTCTTCCAAATGGACACCCCCCCATTAAGAATAATTAGTGGCTGACGTCACTCCACATTGGGGGGGTGGCGAGGCGCCTCCTCCTCCCTCCTCGGCGTCAACTCCCAACCCTCACGACACGTGGTCTCCGTAACGCTGTTGAGACATCAAAGTAAAAAGGACGTCACGATCAACAAGCGATTATAACCTTAAAATGAAATAGGTCTGTGTCACCGCGGCCTTACAAATTGCACACGAATTGATGCAATGAATATATCACGTGGCGGTCTGCCTTTCGCTTGCAAGTTTCAGATTTACGGCAATACACCCATCCTTGGACGGGCAAGAGGCGAGTGTACAATATTAATGTGGGCCTGTCTCCCCGACAGACCTGGTCTTCACCTGAGGACGGTTGCTTGCGTTGTGGCCGAAACGTCGTGAGAATTATTTAATAGTTTTATTTTTATTATTTGATTACTTCCCTTCTACGTGACTTTACCGAAAGAACCAAGAAGATGAATCCCTGCAGTCACGAAAGCTTTAAATCAAAATATAACAGACGCTGTCTCCCCGACAGACCTGGTCTTCACCTGAGGACGGCTGCTTGCGTTGTGGCCGAAACGTCGTGAGAATTATTTTATAGTTTTATTTTTATTATTTGATTACTTCCCTTCTACGTGACTTTACCGAAAGAACCAAGAAGATGTGAGCCTTCTCTCAACCGCCTCGGGCTGCAATGCTCGCGCACACGAGCACCTGGTACCAGCGTGTGAAGAGCAGCGCTGGGAGAGACAAAGGCGGCTGGGCATGCATGCGGATGGAGTTCTGCCCGCTCCATCCGCCTCGTGCTTGTGGAGGCATCCTTAATAGGTGCTCACCACCCACAAGTGTACCCGTTTGACGCAAGGCCGTAGCCATGGAGTCAACATTGGGAGGGATAAAATCTTTCAGAAAAAAAATCTAAATTTTAAAACGAATTTCCTGCCTAAAATATAAAAAAAATCCACTAACACAGGATGCACTTTTTATTTATGTTTTACAATAATGTCTAATAGTGTATTGTATTACACTGCTCTGTTTTTTTCTTTTTTACATTTTCTCGTTTCATTGTATGTAATGGCAACAGATTAGGGATTCATAAAGTACAACCATAACCACAAGCATATAAACAGAAATCTATTTTATAGCAATATATTGGGGGGGGGGACATTTTGAACATATTTGAATATTGGGGTCTCCCTCAATATATATTATAATTACGGCACTTTTGTCTCCGCATATATTGCGTCAATGCAACACGATACAGCCCACTTGATGGGCAACATTTTTGCCTAAAGTTGAATGGGTTTAGTTCACGTTGTACCCCCCCCCCCCCCGCTACCTGAACCACTAAATACGCTCTCACGCGCCCCACGTGTTCAGCTCCATCAGCCTGTCCAAGGTGCGTTACCTACCACTCACTCTCCCGCACAGCACCCCCAACGAGACTGTACTGTCTGTGTGGGTGTCTGTGTCCACGTGTGTGTGTGTGTGTACAACGAGCAGAGCGCCGGGTGGCTAAAGCACAGCAAGTTGGCACAGTAGGTGGCACAGGTGGTGCATCAGCCAGTCATCTCGGTCATCTCGGTCAGTCGACCCGTGGCACCTGCTGGGTCTGCCCCGTGACCTCCTGCCAGCGGGCGTTCGACACTTCACGTGGCCTCAAGGTGCACATGGCCTGGCACAAGCGTCGTGGTGACGTCACCGCCACTTAGTGGCGAATGGTTGTTGTTGTGTGTACGTGTGGCTATGGTTGAGTGTCCGCCTGTGGTGTATGCCCATTACGGTGTCGCATCTGCGTGGGTGTTTGCGTCACCTTGTTTCCAGCGCCAATCTACTCGGACACAAACATACCACCAGTAAGCGAACACCACCACGGATGTATGTGTCTGATTAGCAATGTGTTTCTTGGTTTACGTACATACACTTCTGTGATTGTCTGCATGATGAATGTGTGTCTGCATGTCTCTGCATGCATCATTTGCCTTGTGCGTTGCGTCTGTCTTTGTCTGCGTGATGCATCTGTGTCTGCATGCGTCTGTACGTCTGTACGTCTGTCTGCATGTATTTGTGTGGCTATGTATGTGCATGTATCAGTGTGGCTATGTATGTCTGTCATGCATGATGTATGTCTGTCATGCATGATGTACCTATGTTTGTGTGTCCGCACGCGCCTCAACTGTCTGTCTGCGCTACGAACCTGGCGACCCGAGTTCGATTCCCACACACGGCCAACACCAGTGTGACGATTATCTGAACCGGTCGTGGGCCTCCCCTAGATCGACTCGGCCTCAAATGAGAACCTGGTGCTGTGCGTAAAAACATCGCCACTGGGGAGACAAAGGCGGCCGGGCGTGGTGCTGGCCACCCACCCTCTCGTGTGCCGTTCTGGCCTTCATAGGTGCTCGCTAACACCACTTGCCCCAACAGTCTATTGAGGCTATACGGTTTTTTTTGTCTTTGTGTGTGCATGCTCTGTGTATCTGCATGCATCTGTATGCCTGTCTGCATGTATCAGTGTGGCTGTGTATGCCTGTCTGCATGTATCTGTGTGGTTGTGCTAGTCTGCATGTCTGCATGTATCAGTGTGGCTGTGTATGCCTGTCTGCATGTATCAGTGTGGCTGTGTATGCCTGTCTGCATGTATCAGTGTGGCTGTGTATGCCTGTCTGCATGTATCAGTATGGCTGTGTATGCCTGTCTGCATGTATCTGTGTGGTTGTGCTAGTCTGCATGTCTGCATGTATCAGTGTGGCTGTGTATGCCTGTCTGCATGTATCAGTGTGGCTGTGTATGCCTGTCTGCATGTATCTGTGTGGTTGTGCTAGTCTGCATGTCTGCATGTATCAGTGTGGCTGTGTATGCCTGTCTGCATGTATCTGTGTGGTTGTGCTAGTCTGCATGTCTGCATGTATCAGTGTGGCTGTGTATGCCTGTCTGCATGCATGCGAGATGTAACCAAGGCTCACGTGTCCGCATGCACGTCAACCGTCTGTCTGCATGTGTCCGTGTTGTTCGCTCTCTGTGTATCTGCACGCGTCTGCGTGCCTGTCTGAGTCTGTGTGGTGGCCGTGGCTGCTGGTGTGACTCGGGGTCTCTGCACAAGCCGCCGTGCTACAGCTGTAACGCATTGAAAATCACAAACCGTACCCACAGTGGCGCAATTAATAACGATGCTATTTATATCTCTCGGTCCCTGCACGACACACTGGCTGTGCCAGCAACAAAAAAGGCAAGAGTATGGATTGCGCGGACTGCAGGGTAAAACTGGGCAGGGCAGGGAAATGCGGCACGGTAGGGGAAGCAAGGAGCAGGGAAGAGAAGGGGCAAGAGAGGCAAAGGGGGCACGCCGAGACAAGAGTTAGGGGCGGGCAGCCGCGTGGGTTTTCGCGGTTGTGCTGTTCCGGTATCTCCGATGTGGGGGGGAGCGTACCGTCGCTTGGCTTCTTGGCACGACGCCGTCCGACGTTTCGCTCCACGTGCTGGGAGATTTAATCGGCAAAGAATTCGACCGTTTAGGGATGCATCGAAATCCAGCTCCCAGCACGCGGAGCGAAACGCCGGACATCGCGCAAAACGACACGTGCGGCACGAGCCCGACCACAGCACACCGGGGGCAAGGGCGGGTAGGGGTGGCCGGGCCAGGATAGGCAGAGAAGGGTGGAGAGGGTGGACAGGGTGGAGAGGGTGGACAGGGCAGGTAGAGAGGGTGGACAGGGTGGAGAGGGTGGGCATGGCAGGGTGGACAGGGTGGAGAGGGTGGACAGGGCAGGTAGAGAGGGTGGACAGGGTGGAGAGGGTGGGCAGGGCAGAATGGAGAAGGTGGACAGGGCAGGGTAGAGAGGGTGGACAGGGCAGGTAGAGAGGGTGGACAGGGCAGGTAGAGAGGATGGACAGGGTGGAGAGGGTGGGCAGGGCAGAATGGAGAAGGTGGACAGGGCAGGGTAGAGAGGGTGGACAGGGTGGAGAGGGTGGGCAGGGCAGAATGGAGAAGGTGGACAGGGCAAGGTAGAGAGGGTGGACAGGGCAGGTAGAGAGGGTGGACAGGGCAGGTAGAGAGGGTGGACAGGGTGGAGAAGGTGGGCAAGGCAGAGTGGAGGGGGTGGACAGGGCAGGGTGGAGAGGGTGGGCAGGGCAGGGCGAAGCAGGGGAGGGTACATCCAGTCAACTTAACAACAAACAGAGGTCTGCATTGCATGTTCGAACGCTCTCAGACTCATCCAGACCACCATCTCAAAAAGAACTGAATGCGTTTTATCGTTCAGAACCACCAACTCAGAGGGTTGAGAAAATGTGGCCGTCCCAGTAACGGGCAGCGATGAAACAGAGATGACAACTGCGGACCGGTTTCATCATCGTGAGGACGCATCAGTAAGCGCGGTGCAGTCAATGCTCGCCGCTTCCATCTGCCTCTGGGAACCTTTGCCCCCCTTTGATCTTGGATACGAGATAAGACTTCGAGGCTCCAGGGACATCCTTTCAGATTTCGTTGGTGACCTTGGCCTGGAAGGATGTTGCCTCGTTCCAAAGCCTTCGAGGACCTGGATCGCGATCCAAACTCGGTCCCGCGAACTTTTATTTTTAAATTTTCGTAGCGCGAATGTTTATACCAGCAATTCTAAATGCTGACCGATTCCTAATTTTTTTTTTAATAAACAATTTATGCCGTGGTTTTGCGAACCACTTCTGGCACTTTCAGCAAAATGTTGAGAAACTCTTATCAGACCGAAACGGTGAGTGCAAGCTGGAAATAGGCAATACTAAAATAGGGGGTAATGTCAGGGCAGCATAGATTTGGGCAGAGCGGTGCATGGTCGCCTCGGACAGGGGCAGGCAGACCCAAGCAGGGCAGGCAAGAACGCCACTGAAAAACAGCCACGTGAACTGATGATCTATGCTAACTGATGATCCAGATTAACTGCTGATCCAGCACTCAGTGATTCAGTCAAGTTTGCCTTTTCATTTGATGTTTCTACCACCCATCGGCGGAGTTTGACTTCGATATTTTTTGGGGGGGAGGGTGAGAGACATGGGTTCGCTTGGTCCCTCTCGCTATGAATCGCGGGTGCAGTTAATGAATAATTATTTTTTACTAAGATATTAATAGTAAACTACTGAAAATAAATTAATAAATGGGTCCAGTTTGGGAGTGGTGTCGCCCCGCCCTCCCCACCGCATGCCCCCGCTGCAACCCCCACCCATGCTCCTACCCATGGATATTTACCCTTGAACTTCACTCATTCATACCTCCACCGCCTTACCAGACTGAACGATTGGTCTCATCCACACGGTGTTCAACCACCACCAAACACCCGCAGGTCACAGCACTTCTCACTGCCGCGCTCATTCCCTCGTTCTGCTCAACATTTTGGAATCCCGCTCCCATCATCTCTGCACCCCCGCCCAGCAACGAGAAACCTTTTCATCTTCTTGGTTCTTTCGGTAAAGTCACGTAGAAGGGAAGTAATAAAATAATAAAATAAAACATAATAAAATAATTCTCACGACGTTTCGGCCACAACGCAAGCAGCCGCGTTGTGGCCGAAACGTCGTGAGAATTATTTTATTATGTTTTATTTTTATTATGTATTATTTCCCTTCGACATGACTTTACCAAAAGAACCAAGAAGATGAATCCCTGCAGTCACGAAAGCTTTAAATCGAAAGAGAAACCTTTTCTTAATTAAAGCAACGGTGCCGTTTGTTACTGGCCGCGTGGCACTTGGGGGACCTGTGCTCAGCCAGCTACGAAAGAAAACTGCCCCCTGGCACCCCGCACCCCCCCCCATGCCACCCCCCCCATGCCACCCCCCCCCCCCCATGCCACCCCCCCCCCCCCCATGCCACCCCATGCCCCCCCCATGACACCCCCCCATGCCACCCCCCCCATGCCACCCCATGCCCCCCCCATGCCACCCCCCCCATGCCACCCCATGCCCCCCCCATGACACCCCCCATGCCACCCCGCCCCGCCCCCCCCCCCCGTGGCTTTGAACCCCACTGCAATGCGTACGATCCTCTAGGCACTGCCGCGTTACACAACAAGAGCCATCGCTCACCCACCTCCTGCACAGACGCTGCCAGACACACACACGCTCGCACGCGTTCGCACTGGCACGCACACAGCCACGAAGCCAATAGCGATGCCCCCTCCCTCCTCCTCCTCATCGGTGCCGGATGAAGCGATTGCGGGGCCCGGAGCTTATGCCTCTTTTTCTCCCAAAAAAACCGTCACGGCATCTTTAACGTCCACTGCGAAGCAGACGGTGCGTTTTGATTTCTATGCTTAGGAGCCGTCCAAAAATGACGTCACGCGATTTTGGACGATTTTTGACCCCCCCCCCCCCTCGTCACACGGCGTCACAAAAAGTCAGACCCCCCCCCCAAATATGACGTCACAAAGCTCTGCCACCCCCCCCCCAAAAATAAAACATTCTTCAAATCGCTTTAAACTATTGTCATTGTAGTGCGTATTTAATGTGGCGCTGCACTCTGATGTTGCAGGAGAAAACTTTATTAAAAAGTCTATTTAATTAAGTAGAACGTTTAGTCTATATTTATTTAAAGTTGCGCATTTTGATGTGACGTCACATTTCTCAACCCCCCCCCCCTCGTCACACATCGTCACAAATGTCTGAACCCCCCCAAGGTGCGTGACGTCATTTATGGACGGCCCCTTAACACATCAACAGCAGCATTAAAACAATTTAAATTTTATTTTACCAGGTAAGGCCCCACTGCGCTATGTAGCTCTTTTTCAGATGCGACCTGGCCACAAATGATAACTCAACTAAGTGGCTTATCAAGTGGAAAGAACAGTCGCCAAATACTCTCAACACACGTTTATAGAAAAGGCGGAGGACCAGGTGAGGTAGTTAACATCTCCTAGCCATTATGATGATGATGAGAGAGAGAGAGACACGCAGACTCCAAATATACAGAAGCAGGCATTGTCAGGGTCGGGATCGAACCCACGACCTCCTGTATACCTGGCGAGGTAGTCAACATCTCCTAGCCACCGTGATGATGATGAGAGAGAGAGACACGCAAATTCCAAATATACAGCAGCAGGCATTGTCAGGGTCGGGATCGAACCCACGACCTCTTGTATACCTAGCGAAGTAGTCAACATCTCTTAGCCACCGTGATGATGATGAGAGAGAGAGACACGCAAACTCCAAATATACAGCAGCAGGCATTGTCAGGGTCGGGATCGAACCCCCGACCTCTTGTATACCTGGCGAAGTAGTCAACATCTCCTAGCCACCGTGATGATGATGAGAGAGAGAGAGATACGCAAACTCCAAATATACAGCAGCAGGCATTGTCAGGGTCGGGATCGAACCCATAACCTCCTGTATACCTGGCGAGGTAGTCAACATCTCCTAGCCACCGTGATGATGATGAGAGAGAGAGACACGCAAACTCCAAATATACAGCAGCAGGTGCCAGGGTCGGGATGGAAACCACGACCTCCTGTAAACTAGGCGAGGTAGTTAAACATCTCGTGACCCCCCTATTAACCAGGGCGGCCACGGGGTCCAAACCACGAACCTATATAACAAGAGAGAAACGTCGCGGTGACCACTCAAAAGCACCTCGCTGCCCCACAAAATCAAATCCATAAACTGTCACTATTCCAGCTCACGATTCAATCCAAGAATCAATAATTGGTTTGCCATTGCAGAGCGTGTAGCATCTCTTGTGGCTGCAGGGTTTCCATGAACTCGGCACGTACAGGACGACATATGTAAATCGTAAAATAAATTAACCCGTAAAAACTAAAATTTTCACTATAAATCCTTTATATGCGTGGCGGCTAGAGTCTTCTCGTCCTCTGGCTTGAGATGGCTGCCACCTATGGGTCAGATGATTGCCTGCCACCATTAAGCAATTGGTAATTAAATATTTTAAAAAAATTCCTAAAATGTTCAAAATAAATTGTCACGCACAACGAGTCTGTGTGCAAAATGTCAGCTCGATTGGATCACGGGAAGTGGGTTAAAAAACGACCGAAAGATTTGCACGGTCGTAAGCACGCAAGCAAGCAAGCAAGTGAACTTAACATAAAGGATTTAAGAATCAATCATTACCCGCCCGGTAAAATGCGAGTGTGGCGCGTGAAAGAATCGATGTCAACCAGTTGCCGTTCCGAGACATCTGCAAGTTGCAGGGTGGTTCCCATTTGCCGCTGAATCTCGGATCGTGCAAGCGGCTCATGGTTCATCTTATTTAGAGAGGTGTAGCCTCCATTGTTTTTAAAGACGTTGTGCTCACCGCAGAGAACTGTAACGACACGACCGCCACTCTCGGATAGCTGGAGCCGAATTCTGCACACACTCTCCCGCATTGCCTTGTGGGAGCCTCGGTACCGATGAAGTTAAATGCATTTTTTTTCCAGTTCCGTTCCGATGACATACACATGCTCCAAATATGCACGTACGTCATTGGAATGGAATCGTAAGATAAAATTTAAGTGTGGCGATCCTTCTGAAAAAGAATCGCGAGGCTCGGCGAGGCTTTCCCGGGTAAACAAAACGCAAAGTGAGTTCGCAGAAACACTCAATCACACTAATGCCCTTAAAAGGAAATGCACATAGTGGGTGACGTTTCGGACAATGGCCCATAGAAAGGCCAGTGAGGTGATGGTTTCAGTGTGATCTCCCACACACACACACACATTTCGTACGGTTCTGTTCATGTGGCTAAATTCCAGCTCTGAGAATAAAATAAATTGGTTTGACTGTCACACTAAAAGCAGTTTAACACGGAGGCTTTCGTGACCAATATCATCCATAATACAGTTTTTTTTTGGGTTAGATCACGTAAAAAGAAATATACACGAAGAACATTACTCTAATCTCAGTAATATGCATCTGTTTGGCACGGTGGGTGGAAAAGTGTTGCCCTTTACCGAGTGGATTAAAGGTCACGGGGCGGGATTTCAGAGGTAGCTCTACGTATCCGCTTCCGTAGGCCATTCTCTAGCACGAGGGCTTGCACCGCCCTGCGAGACATCCAAATGCATTCTTCCGTTTCATGACGCAGGGGAGAAAAACAATACAAAATGTGCTTTGAAAGGAATCGATGTTAATCAATGGGGGGTCGTTAACACGCCAGTTTTCCATACAGCCCTGCCAACACGGTCTTCGACTTACATTTGAACTCGCGTCGGGGCAGATGCTACATTGGGATTTTTTCCCGGTTTGCTGTAGTCCTGCAGACTCGCTGTTTGGCTGGCCTCTGGACCGCGCAGAAAACACGACCGCGTTCGAGAGCGACCGCGTCGCGATTGCTGGCGTTTTACGAAAGCCTGAACACCACGTGTACGGAGTTTTATCATCATCACTATCATCATCGCCGTCACTAACATCCTAAACTTCACCACCACCACGACCACCACCAGTCAGCCGACATACATAGGGTGCTTAAAAAAATGTATTCAAAAAAGTAAAAAAAGAAAATTTAAGTTTTCAAAAAAATGTTAACTATTATAATGGAAAAAAAACGGATAATACACTGTGTACATGATTAGAAATGTAATGTTAATAGCTTCAAAAAGTCAAAGGGTCTCCACTTGTTGGCCATCGTTGTCAACACGTGCCTGGAATCTTCTCCAGGTGGTCTCCAGAGCCAGGAGGTGGCACATTTATTGTGGCGTCGTTGCAAATTCTCAGAAGCGTTAACATTTTTTGAAGCACCATGTATGATCAATATACTGGTAGGAACCTCCTGGTTACACCAGCCCACAGGGGATTATTGTGTCCGTCCGTCCGTCGTGCAGGGAGGACCTGGGTGGGGAGAGGAGGGAGGGGCTGGGTGGAGAGGGGAGGGTGGGGAGGGGCTGGGTGGGGAGGGGAGGGTGGGGAGGGGCTGGCTGGGGAGGGTGGGGCTGGGTGGGGGGTGGGAGGGGTAGGGGTGGGGGTGGGTGGGGAGGGGCTGGTCACCCCGTGGTGCCGTAATAAACTCAACGTTTAACCTATACACGCCGGCTTGTGCCCGCCCACAGTCGGCATATTTGCGGAATACACCACGCCGCCGTTGACCCTGGCCATTGACCGAGCAACACAACGTTCCTACCAGCTCCCTCCGCAGGAATGTGTTATATAGTCTTTCGCCATTTTTTATCATCAGTCAATGCCTATCGTCATTATTATCATCACTAATACAGTATGTATAAGTGAGTGGATGGAAATTACATTTAGTTCAACAGCGAATGGGCCAATTAAACATAGTGTAATATGACAAGGTATAGTCAATAAGCATATTAGTTGCTGCGGCGCCATATTATTAACATTCCTTCCCTTTATTAATTCTAACCTTATTCCCTCCCTTTGATACTGCTAATCCTGCATAATGCACGGACATAGTGACTTTAAACCCCTCGCCAAACCTCCTACGCATTTCACAAGTAGTACTAATCGCATATCTGCATTTCCCATAAATATGCTAAATTCCTCTTGATATGCAAATTATTGTCAAGACGCTCTTCGCCCCTCCATCCGAGCTTAAATAGTCGCTCCAAGCCTGGGGCTTGTCATTCAGACTCTGCCTTCTCGACAGACCTGTTCTCCACCTGAAGATGGCTGCTTGCGTTGTGGCCGAAACGTCGTGAGAATTATTTTATTATGTTTTATTTGTATTATTTTATTATTTCCCTTCTACGTGACTTTAGCGAAAGAACAACGAAGATTTTTGGGGTTATTTTAAAGGCGAAATACCCCACCCCATAATATTGCACATAAATGCGAGTACATGGATAATAACGTGTGTTATACCCTGTGGTTTCTATGTTATCAGCACAGTGCAGTCAAATATATCGTTACATCATTCGATGCTACGTCTTCTCCAAACCGCAAAGACCTGCACGGTGATGTATGGCTAAATAACCCCCACGGTCTGCACAGCATGGGGAGGTGCTCATCCAGCAGTGGATTGACAAAAGAATCGTGTGTGTGTGTGTGTGCATAAGTACATCATCATCACACTTGGGAATGAAAGCAATGTGACGCATGACATCAATTCCTGTAATAGGCAAATGTACGATTCACCACTCAAATACTTAGCGGGATTCAGGTCTGTGCAGTTAACAGCACCACCCACTCACTCACCTACCCGCCTACCATTCCACTCCCTCAATCACACACTGACATGTCTACCCACTCACTCACTCACCTACTCAATTATTCAACCACCCAATCACTCGCCCGCCCACCCACCCACCTACCTACCAACCCACTGACCCATCACTCACCCATTCACACATCAACCCATTCACTGACTCACTTACTCACCCACCTACTAATCCGCTCACCCCATCACTCAACCTTTCAAACCCACTCAGCCACCCACTCACCTGGTTACCCACCATCCCACCTATTAACCTCCTCACTCAACCACTTCCTGCCCCAATCACCCACTTACCAACCTACCCACCCATTCACTCACCCATTCAAACATCAACCTATTCACTCACTCACTCATTTACTCACCCACCTACTAATCCACTCACCCCATTGCTCACCTATCGAACCCACTCAGCCACCCACTCACCTGGTCACCCACCATCCCACCTACAGTATTAACCTCCTCACTCAACCACTTCTCGCCCCACTCACCCACCTACCAAGCCACCCATCAACCCACTCTACCAACTCCTCCTCACCTGCCCACCGCCTCACTCCCACCCACCCACCAATGAACCCACTCACTCCCCCAGCCCTCAACCCACTCACCCTCTACCTCGCCGCCCACCACCCCGCAGTAGTTACCTGCTCGTCGGCCCATCCCCGCGGCCAGCACGGCGGGCAGGCACAGCAGCGAGGGGAAACCGCCCAGCCACAGGAGGCCCAGCAGGGCCACGTGCGTGGGGGCCACGCGCGCCGTCAGCCGGGGGGGCGCCGTCGCCACCACGCCCCTCGCGCCGCATCCACCCTTCCCCGCGGCGTCCCCCCGCCTGGCCCTCACCCGCCCGGCGGCCCTGCCGGCCCCGTCCAGGGGGAACGCCGGCAGGCCGCGCGACGAGGGCCACGCCGCCGGCAGCGTGTGCCTGCGCGCCCAGGGCCCGCCGGCGCCGAACCGGCGGGCCGAGCCCCGACAGCCTCGGTCGTCTTCGCCGTCGTACGAAGAGGAGGAGGATGACGAGGAGCCGTCGAGGACCAGCTCGCTGTCGAGCTCCTCCTCGCGTTCCGCGCGCAGGAGGCTGTAGCCGGCGGGGGCCAGCGCCGACGTCGCGGACGGCGCCGGCGGTGGAGACGACGGCCCGCGAGCTGCGGGATCGTCCGAGGAGGTCACCGAGGAGGTCACCGAGGCGGTCACCGAGGAGGGCGGCTCGGAGGAGCGCGGGGCGCGCAGCAGCGTCGGGGAGGCGAGCAGCGCGGCGCCGTCGTCGGGACGCCACGAGTCGCGCACGGAGCGCGCCAGGTGCAGCGAGCGCAGCGCGCGCGACCCCCCCACGCGCCCGGGGTGGGCCTCCCCGCCACCATCACCTGCTGGCGGCGGCAGCAGCAGCAGTAGCAGCAGCAGGAGGAGTGGTAACAATAGCGGTAGCAAAGATGAGAATGTTGAATCAATGCTGCATACCTGCATTGACATGAATTTGAAAACATTTGACAAATACAAATAGAACAAACAGTAAAGTATGCAGAGGAGAGATACATGCTTAGAACACATGGATCAGAGAACAAACGAAAATTAGACATTGTTTGGGAAAGTAATAGGGCTTTGGCATTATAATCTGGAGAACACGGTAACGCGCGGGGTAAGGCAAGCTCACCTGTCTGGCGCCGCGCGGCGCTTTGCTCCATCGCCAGGCTGCACGGCCGCTTGACCTGCGGGCAGCAGGTGACCCCTGCCGCCACCACCACCGCCGTGGTTCCGCGACCCCTCTCCACAAGCTCCCTTTCACCGCCCTCGCCCGCCAGGCAACCGCTCGGTTCCATCTCCGACTTGTCCAGCCGCCCTCCGGCACCGGCAGCCAGCGCCGGACGGAGGCCACCATCGCCGTCACCACCGTCTCCTACTCCTCGGGTTGTTACCGCGACGGTCGATGGTGCAGGGTCGACGGGGAAAGGACAGCCGCTCCCGCCGGCCTGTGACTTCACGCGTTCCACCACCGCGATCGACGCTCGGCGCGGCTTGAGAATCGCGCTCGCCTGCGGGTAGGGGTCGCCGCGATGTCATTTCTCACGACACGATACGAGATGAAATTTCGTGACGATTATCGCGATGTCAGTTTCCCGTAACTGTGTAATCGTACTCCACCATTTTTATCGTCTTGTTTTTTGTGCTTTGGTGCAGTTCGTGTACGAATAAAAATTGCTTTTAAAGTTATTTGACGACAGTTCACTCAACGTTAGCCTGCCGTATGTCTTCTCATCATTGCAACTTTACAATCTACAACACTTATACTGCACATGCTTTCAGAAAATTGCGTCATCATATCATCTCCATGCCGTCAATTACTCCATAAAACGTATTTCAAAGCACTCATGTAGTTGGAATTGGGGGTGCACCTTATAATCTGGTAGGTTTGTGTTACGTGTATGACCAGAATTGTATACTGTAACTATATTGGCACAGGACACAAGATTAGGGTGCATCTTACTTTCTAAGATCATCTTATCATCCAGAAAACAGTGTCTTGCTGTGGATTTCACACCTGATGATGATTGCTTGTGTTGCAGTCGAAACGTCGTGAGAATTATTGTTTTACATTTATATTATTTTATTATTTCCCTTCTACGTGACTTTACCGAAAGAGCCAAGAATATAGTGTCTATTTAGTTTTACTTTATTTCCCATCGTGCAATATTTATGATCATTAGCTCATAAATATTGTCAGCAAATTAAATAAATGGGTACAGGAGCAGCCCTAGGAATTGCTTGCTCACTCCACTCCAGGCAGAGGGCCCTCCGCTATCGGGAGTCCCCGAGACTCTTATTGACGATTTTATTTAGCCAGACGTCCTGAAGGAGTTCAAATAAAGTATTTAAGAAGCATTTAATGCTCCTACGGTCCCGTCATGCCGAATTGTAACTCTCTCGGAGTTTCTGTTCCCCCCCCCCCGACCCACCAATGTCGATTGGCGTATTGTACCGGGCTCGTGTTTTGTTGCAAAAAATAAAAATAAACCCATACATACAACAACAACAACAAACATTTAATTCGCCACGTTAATCACCATATGAGGATATCACGCAAAAACGGACGACGCAATTACCAGTGGATCTCATATTGTGCGACGTATCCGAGCATCGCGACACCACCGCGAGCCTACCTGCGAGGGAGACTCGGCGTCAGACGACGGCGACTCAACGCCCGAGTCCGTGCTCAGGAAGCGCGGCAGGGGCCGTCGCTCGGCCGGACGGGCCCACGGCCCCTCGGGCGTCGTGACGAGGCCGCCGCCACCATCGCCGCCAACGCCGTCGGCGCCCACCAGGATCACGCCCAGGTCAGGGGATGAATCCGAAGGGGAGTTTGGACTGTCCTGCTGCTGCTGCTGCTGCTGCTTTGCCACCAGGGAATGCGGCTGTAAGGAGACGGGGAATGTGGCTGCTGGCGACGACGCCATGTCCATTGTGGCAGCGGTGGTGGTCGACAATCGGAGGTCCGGTTTGTTGCGACTCAGTTGCAGATCGACAAATGCTTCCTTGTAAAGGGGGAGAAGCCCTGGAATGACAACGAAATGCAGGACATTGTGCGTATTCCTCTCCTTTAGCGACAGTGGTGTAACCCAATGAACACTCTTTGGTTTTTTTGGTAAAGTCACGTTGGTAAAAAATATAATAAAATAAAATAAATGAAAACAACTCATCTTCTTGGTTCTTTCGGTAAAGTCACGTAGAAGGGAAAAAAAACATTATAACATAATAATATAATACTATAATGAAAAAGTATAATAATATAATAAATGATTTTTATTACTTTTTTATTATTTCCCTTCTACGTGACTTTACCGAAAGAACCAAGAAGATGAATCCCTGCAGTCACGAAAGCTTTAAATCGAAAACAACTCAATTAAATCACGACGTTTCGGAGGCAACACAAGCTTCTTCTGTCTTCAGGTGGAACCGTCACAGCCAAAATCACTTACGTGACTTTACCGAAAAAACCAAAGAGTATGAATCCTTGCAGTCACGAAAGCTTCAAATCTAGAACCCAATGCATGTCGGAGGGGCACGTGCGCTAGGCTACCAAGGGGAGAAAAATTGGATAGAGGGCCCAATTTAACTTCTTACATCAGAGCCCATGCAAACCGCACTACTGCGCCACCGGATGGTGGTCCAGAGCGAGCACACTTCCACATTCCTATGTCAAGGACCAGTATATTCATCGGACAATCACTGTTGACTAACTACTTATGTATGTTTTGTCCTTGTCCAATTCATTTTTCAAAATTGTGCAATTGGCATCGTTAACGAGATGAGGTTTCTATTTGGAACCGTCACAGAGCAGTGCAACCCGGCGTGTTGGAAAACGGGCCACAGAAGAAGACATCACATCACCGAACTGTGATATCTCACGGAACAAGAAGTTGTTCGTGATATCTCCAATTCCCAATGTTTTATTCACAGGGCGGCGCTCTGTTGGACATAACCTGCCACACAGAGAAATCTTTTCCCATGAGAGTCAAACTGATATTATATTTTTCAGAGCCGGAATTTAGCAACATGAATTTAAACCCCAAATTTAGTTACAGGGTTTTTGTGTGTGTGTGTACAATCACTGGAGACCAGACTGAGACCATCATCTCACTGTAATTAAGAAACTTGGACTCAATCCCAGAATCACGGTGGTGCTGGATCAGTGCCCTGATCCTAAGCCACCCAACGACCTCAACACTTATACTATCGACAATGTAGATATGATGGGTCGATTGACATCTCAACCTCAATACGAATTCGCCAGATAGTGATAGCCAGATTCTCAACCACGGTGCAAACAGGCTGGCAACAAATACACATACCAGTGACAACCACGTACCCCCAAAGCCGACACATCTGTTGTGCATGCCAGTCACCCATCCAAGATCTATACAGGCTCAACCCTGCTTAGTTTCAAACAGATCCGACGAAATCAGACACATTCAGGGTGATTTTGTATGAGGCTACGTTGTGAGCGGCAAAGGGCAGAAAAAGCGATTGTCGCACTGTGCTCCCCAATCTTCCAAACTGCGCTCACCAGCACGGCGAAGCACGGCCAATAAAGCCCACAACCCGCACGGCGTGATCCAGCAGTGGAGTGACATCAGAGGATGTACAAATACATATAACATTGGTTTAAGACCATAAGTGTACAAATGATATCTTACCTCTGTCTCTTCGGTCCGTCGATGATTTCCTGTTGCGATTCTCATATACAAGCTGTTGTACACATCTGTCGAGAGTGTATGTGGACGATTCACGGACACATTTGAATTTCTAAGAGAACGAGTTCAATTGAATACGAGATGATAACAGCGGCTTGAGCCGAGCATCATCGCGCTTTCATCACCGAATGAATTTCTCTCCCCCCCCCCCCAAAAAAAATCTAACACTGCAGATAGCTTAATAATTCATCAGTTGTGAAAAAATACACCCACATGGAACTCGAGGCTGTGACAAACACGCAAGAGTCGGCCTGCAGTTACCAGCACGCTTTATTTTTTTGTTTATGAAAGGGTCGGTCCATTATTGCGGCTCAGTGAAATTCGGAAGGCTGTCACGCTACCACTCTCAGCGTGGCGGATTTTTGAAGGGTCCATTATTGTGGGTCAATGAGCCTCAGGACCTTTTCCTGGAAATGTGGGGAAGGAAGTTAAGGTTTGTATTCTTGAGTGATAAAAGCCTTGAGAGGGGAGTGCATAACCCCCCCATTGTGAACGTAAAATTCTCAGAGTGTTCTTAAAGATGTTCAAATTAACGGGAAGTCACCGAATGACTTCAATGGATGGAAGTTGATGATGGCTGTGTCCGAGCACTGAATCCAGTCACCTGTGATTACTCAAGAGTAACGGAGCTGATGGTTTTGGACTGGTCACCAATGACTGAACAAAAACATAATATAATTTGGCTTCTTAAAAAAAATCATACAGGGATAACATACAATACAGTGAGGATTCATAGAGTTTAAATGCCACACCACCTGTCCAAATGCCCCATAGAACAGTGAGATATGGGCAACGTACGGTGCGAAAAAAGTTCAACATAGATACATACATACACCCAGAACATGTACATCCTTTTTTGTCAATCCACTGCTGGATGAGGGCCACCCCATGTCGTGCGGGTTCAGGGGGTTATATAACCACACCTCACCATGCTGGTCAGTGCAGGTTGGTGAAGGAGCAGCAAGGAGGAACAGAGGTGTGGAAGCATAGAAGTACAGTAAAACAATCGATTATGTTGCATTGCCCTCTGATGCCCATCACTGCCCATCACCTCCTGGAAAGTGGCACACGTGGGAGCAGGGGTCAGACTTCCCCCCCCCCCCCCCAACGATTTTAACGTTATCCCATTAGTCGAATAATAATCAAACCGATGGGTGTAATCAATTAAACTACTTATATAATCGGATAGCTCGACTGAACTATATTTCTTTAGGCCAAATGTATAAGGATATTATGTGGCCGACAAGTGGCAAACCACTCAATCTTTAAACTATTTAAACTAAAACTACTTTTTTGTGGCCACTGAGCTACATAGCTCTTTTTCAGAAGGGACCTGGCCACAAATGATAACTTAAGGAAGTTGAGTTGTCATTTGTTGTCCATATCGCAACGAAGTTGAGTTATTATTATCGAGTTATAATTATAGCAGCCAAATACTATGAACGTACGTTGATTTTAAATGTGGAGGGGAAAACCGGAGGACCCGGAGGACAATCCAAACGACCACGGGGAGCGAGAGAGACACACAAACTCCAAATATACAGCAGCAGGCGTCAAGGTAGGGATCGAACCCACGACCTCCTGCATACCAGGTGAGGTAGTCAACATCTCCTAGCCACCGTGATTATGATGAGAGAGAGAGACACGCAAACTCCAAATATACAGCAGGCGTCAAGGTAGGGATCGAACCCACGACCTCCTGCATACCAGGCGAGGTAGTTACCATATCCTAGCTATTGTGATGATGATGAGAAAGACACGCAAACTCCAAATATACAGGTGTCAGGGTCGGGATCGATCCCGCGACCTCCTGCATACCAGGCGAGGTAGTTAACATCTCCTAGCCACCGTGATGATGAGAGACACGCAAACTCCAAATATACAGCAGGCATCAGGGTTGGGATCGAACCCACGAACTCCTTCATACCAGACGAGGTAGTTAACAAATCCTAGTCACCTCGAACCCACGACCTCCTGCACTACCAGGCGAGGTAGTTAACATCTCCTAGCCACCTCGAACCCACGACCTCCTGCACACCAGGCGAGGTAGTTAACATCTCCTAGCCACCTCGAACCCACGACCTCCTGCATACCAGCCGAGGTAGTTAACATCTCCTAGCCACCTCGAACCCACGACCGCCTGCATACCAGGCGAGGTAGTTAACATCTCCTAGTCACCTCGAACCCACGACCTCCTGCATACCCGGCGAGGTAGTTCACATCTCCTAGCCACTTTAAACCCACGACCTCCTGCCTACCAGGCGAGGTAGTTAACATCTCCTAGCCACTTTAAACCCACGACCTCCTGCATACCAGGCGAGGTAGTTAACATCTCCTAGCCACTTTAAACCCACGACCTCCTGCACACCAGGCGAGGTAGTTAACATCTCCTAGCCACCTCGAACCCACGACCTCCTGCACACCAGGCGAGGTAGTTAACATCTCCTAGCCACCTCGAACCCACGACCTCCTGTACACCAGCCGAGGTAGTTAACATCTCCTAGCCACTTTAAACCCACGACCTCCTGCACACCAGGCGAGGTAGTTAACATCTCCTAGCCACCTCGAACCCACGACCTCCTGCCTACCAGGCGAGGTAGTTAACATCTCCTAGCCACCTCGAACCCACGACCTCCTGCACACCAGCCGAGGTAGTTAACATCTCCTAGCCACTTTAAACCCACGACCTCCTGCACACCAGGCGAGGTAGTTAACATCTCCTAGCCACCTCGAACCCACGACCTCCTGTACACCAGCCGAGGTAGTTAACATCTCCTAGCCACTTTAAACCCACGACCTCCTGCACACCAGGCGAGGTAGTTAACATCTCCTAGCCACCTTGAACCCACGACCTCCTGCCTACCAGGCGAGGTAGTTAACATCTCCTAGCCACCTCGAACCCACGACCTCCTGCACACCAGCCGAGGTAGTTAACATCTCCTAGCCACCTCGAACCCACGACCTCCTGCACACCAGGCGAGGTAGTTAACATCTCCTAGCCATCTCGAACCCACAACCTCCTGCACACCAGCCGAGGCAGTTAACATCTCATCGCCACCTCGAACCCACGACCTCCTGTCTACCAGCCGAGGTAGTTAACATCTCATAGCCACCTCGAACCCACGACCTCCTGCACACCAGCCGAGGTAGTTAACATCTCCTAGCCACCTCGAACCCACGACCTCCTGCACACCAGGCGAGGTAGTTAACATCTCCAAGCCACCTCGAACCCACGACCTCCTGCACACCAGGCGAGGTAGTTAACATCTCATAGCCACCTCGAACCCACGACCTCCTGCACACCAGCCGAGGCAGTTAACATCTCATAGCCACCTCGAACCCACGACCTCCTGCACACCAGCCGAGGTAGTTAACATCTCCTAGCCACCTCGAACCCACGACCTCCTGCACACCAGGCGAGGTAGTTAACATCTCCAAGCCACCTCGAACCCACGACCTCCTGCACACCAGGCGAGGTAGTTAACATCTCCAAGCCACCTCGAACCCACGACCTCCTGCACACCAGGCGAGGTAGTTAACATCTCATAGCCATCACGGTAGCTGGACTCTACTATAGAAATTTCTGTAGGCCAAATGTGTAAGTGTATCGGGTGGCCCACAAGTGGCAAACCACTCAATATTTGGACGGCGTGAATTAGGAGATGCTTGTTGTTGTTGAGAGAGAGAGGGCCACCGTAAATGAACTATTCCTGGGGTTTAATCATAATCTTCTCGTTCTCGTTGGTTTGGTTGATGCGATGGATTATGTTTGTCCAACGACTTTGAACCCATCAAAAAATACAACGTTTATAGAAAATGATCAAGACGTTACTGCATGGTTCTGTCACTCAAAATACTGCAATAGTTAATTAATCACAGCGTTCGTTTACTATTAATATTATCCGAGGCAGTTAACTGCTTATCGCAAACACCTTAGCTGTACTATTTGATCATTTTTTTAAACTTTATGGTCTTTTACAGGCAATGTCAAATATAAAACGTTTTGATTCGGAGTAACATACAGATTGCAATATTAATAACGCAATGAAGAGAGACACATTGCAAAAGGCATAGCCCATTTCTGTCAATGAAACTCAATTAACCACGGATTATAAATGAACTCCGCAGAGTGTGACACGCAAGTTGTACACGTTATTTAAAAAAAAAATGTGTTGTTGTTGTTTACCTCGGGAGCTCGTAAATCCAATGTGTTGAGAGTCCGTAGAAGTAGGCCGAGTCCCCGGCCTGGCCTAGCGAGCCCTACCGGAGCCCTGCGCTCTTTGCCGGGCAGAGCCACCCTCGCCGCGGCTTCTTACTCCACGGACTCTTTTTTTTTTTTTTAAAACGTCGTAAAATTAAAACAAATATATTATCTCGCTATAGACAGCGAAATAATAATGTTAACATTATAATGCCGGTGTTTTGATGCTCTTTATGATATTGCTTGTTGAATGTTTGGTGTAAAATCGCGGCCACTTGCATTTGACGGCCGGCGATGCCGTGTCAGCTGCGTCCCCACTCGGCATTGCACGTAAATTTATACTTCATCATAATTAAGTTAAATTGCAGCTCTCTAAGTAAATTGTTGAACATTCACCGTGGTATTTAAGAGTAGTATTCACTCGCAACCCCCCCTCTCTCCGCCGCCCACGTTATAAAGCGCTATATCTTAGTCAATCATCATCAGGGTGGATAAAATTGGTACCAGTTTGTGAGAATGCAACTCTGGAACCGCTGGAGAGGCAGCAGCTGCCAATTGTTATTGCATTAGACTGGGTCCCGTCACGGGAATGTGGAATTTCCACCACTTCATGTAAAGTCAACTGTTGATGATGCCCTTTAATAGCAAAAGGGTGAAACGCTGTAAGCGCAGCCCTGCATTCGAAGCTCCAACGGGGGTATTTGGCCTACTCTTCCACAGTGGGTCAGACACTTGGCCTACTCTTCCACGCCGGCCAGTCGGCTTTTTAGTGACGGTATTTATTAAGCACCCACCTTTTCCCATTCACCACATTGCCTTTTCGGCTGTTGTAATATTGAAGATTTTTTTTTTTACCGAATTCTAATGACAGGAATCTTATTCTTGGTTCTTTCGGTAAAGTCACGTAGAAGGGAAATAATAAAATAATATTAATATAAAACAATAACAATTCTCACGACGTTTCGACTGCAACACAAGCAATCATCATCAGGTGTGAAATCCACAGCAAGAAATCCACAAAGAAATTTTCTTTCTGTGGATTTCACACCTGATGATGATTGCTTGTGTTGCAGTCGAAACGTCGTGAGAATTGTTATTGTTTTATATAAATATTATTTTATTATTTCCCTTCTACGTGACATTACCGAAAGAACCAAGAATATGAATCCCTGCAGTCACGAAAGCTTTAAATCGAAAGGAATATTCTTGTTATTTTTGATTTACAACATCTGGCCTAGAGCAAGTCCTCATTGCATACTGTGTCAACCCACACTGTTTATCCCCTATTCTTGTACAGGCAAATTGAGTTTTCAGGTCCTTCTTCTTCCTAGCGTTGTTCCCGCTGTGGCGCAGGGTCCGCTTTTCGGCATTGTCTTCTCCATTTGGCTCGGTCCAGGGCATCTTCAGGGGATGCGTTGACCGTCTTCATGTCTTCTGGCTTGTGATGGGGCTTTGTAGGGTGCACGTTGAGATGTATAAGGGCACGGGGTGACCAATATGATCTTAATTGGTCGGTAACAAGGTAGGGGCACTCATAAAGGGTTGACAACGATGTAATTGAGTCTCAAAACCCCTCTTTTTCAAGAGGGCCCTGCTTACATTTGGATGTTTGGCCAATTCCACAACTTGGTGCTGTGGTTTGAAGCTTTCGTGACTGCAGGAATCTTTGATTCTTTCGGTAAAGTCACGTAGGTAGACATAAAATAAGACTTCAGCATTTTATTGCTGTGATTGTCCCACCTGATGAGGATTGCTTGTGTTGCGATCGAAACGTCGTGATTTGTTTTGTTTTATTTCTACCTACGTGACTTTACCGAAAGAACAAAAAAGTTTGGTGTTGTGGCTTTGCATGAGAGGACACCAGAGTGCATGGCACAGCCCTTTTGCCAATCCACTGCTGGATGAGGGCCTCACCACGCCGTGCGGAAAGTGGGGGGGTTATTTGACCATATTTCACCACGATCCTCACCGTGGGTTGGTCAAAGGCGGCGGTCATTCTAAATGACAGACTCATCGATGCCGGGCTCCTTGGGCGATCGTTTGCCAAACCTTTGGGATCACGTTTCGATTTAAAGCTTTCGTGACTGCAGGGATTCATCTTCTTGGTTCTTTCGGTAAAGTCACGTAGAAGGGAAGTAATAAAATAATAAAAATAAAACATAATAAAATATTTCGATTTAAAGCTTCTTTCGTGACTGCAGGGATTCATCTTCTTGGTTCTTTCGGTAAAGTCATCACGTAGAAGGGAAATAATAAAATAATAAAAATAAAACATTATAAAATAATTCTCACGACGTTTCGGCCACAACGCAAGCAGCCGTCCTCGGGTGAAGAATAGGTCTGTCGGGAAGACAGCGTCTGAATGAAACACCCCAGGCTTGGAGCGTATATTTAAGCTGGGTTGGAGGGGGAAGAGCGCCTTGACAACATAATTTGCATATCAAGCGGAATTTAGCATATTTATGGGAAATGCAGATATGGGATTAGTACTACTTGTGAAATGCGTAGGAAGTGGCAGGGGGGTTTCAAAGTCAAATAATGCCCGTGCATTATGCAGGATTAGCAGCATCAAAGGGAGGGGTATAGGGGATCACATCGTTAAATACGCTCATCAAGCCGGGGAAATGCTCTTTTGGGACCCCTTGTGATTCACTGAGTATAACTAAACCTTGTAGAGTCTGACCACTAGCACCTCTGGGAAGCTTGGCGCTCGGTGTTAATTAACAATGCCTTTGTGTGTTGATGATAAGACCTCGTCTCCATCTCGTCTCCATCTGTGGGGAGCGGTAGTGTCGTAGCGGTGAGCGCTACGCTGCGCTACGAACCCGACAACACCAGTGGCGATTATTTGAACCGGTCCTGGGCCTCCCCTAGGTCGACTCGGCCTCAAATGCGTACCTGGTGCGGTGTGTAAACATCGCTACTTGGAAGACAAAGGCGGTCGGGCGTGGTGCTGGCCACCCACCCCCTCGTGTACCCTTCCGGCCTTCTTAGGTGCTCGCTAACAGCACTTGCCCCAACAGTCTGTTACAGGCTATACGGGGGATCTTTGTCTCCATCTCGACTCCAATCTGTTGGCCTTACACCAAGGGCTGGCAACAAAAATTATGAAAGGAGGCAATTTTTCTCGAAATTCGGTAAGAAACTCAATTTGTGAATAGAATACGAGACCAGCGGTGTTTCTAAATAACGCCGCAGATTGACGACCCCTGCCTTCCACCGATTGAACTTGTACTCCCAGGTAAGATGGTCACCGCCTAATGCCCAAACACAGAACAGCTGCACCAGGTGGCCATCTCACCTGGGGGGTCAGGCTCCACGAGGTCACTACAAAAAGCAGTTGTAAAGAAATTAGCTTTTAATCTAGATTTAAAAGTGCATAGCTCCAGTGGCTTCCCAATATTCACGGCGATCGCTACATCTCAAGAGCTACCCAGGCTCATTTCCCGCTGAGCTTTCGAGACCCGACGAGGGCCGGGTCACATGGGCCGCGTCGGTCTCTTCGCGCGAACACATTTCACAACGAGCAACCAACCGCGTGACTTCTGTAGTTCTCGTAGCCGGCCATTCACGTGGGCGTCCCAGTGGCGACACGGCACACATAACGCGGCCACAAGCGATTGAAATGCACACACGGAGAAAATGCAATGGTGAGCTGCTTTTATTCTGGCAGAATACAGCAGTGGAGCAGTGGCGCCGCGTAGATTGTGTGTGCCGAGCGATGAACTCGACCACCCGAGTTAAGATTCCCGGCCACGGCAGAGGTCGCAAACGGGTTTTGATTCCTTACCCGTACCCGGCCACACCAGGGTTGCAAATGGGTACCCGTACCCGGCCGGGTACGGGTAGCCGTTCCCTACCCGTACCCTACCCGAAATGAGTGACAAACGGTGACTCACCAGTGACTCACGGCCTACCCGTACCCGTACCCGGCCGCACCAGGGTCGCAAACGGCTACCCGTACCCGTACCTGGCCGGGTACGGGTAGCCGGGTATCGGGTAGGGTACAGGTATCGGGTACCCGGTTGCGACCTCTGGGCCACGGTGAGCGTCGGTGGCGAGCAATGCCTCAAACGGTCCTGGACACCGCCACCACCCCCTCCACTTCATGAAACCACACCGAGCGGCATGGTGAAGTACGGTCAAACAACCTCCCGTTCAAGTCTTGCACACGCGAGCTGTTTCTCCAGTGGCAGAAGTGAGTCTCGTATCAGCCCTGTTTGATCCACTGCTGGATGAAGGGACTCCCCCCCGCATTGTCGCAATCCAATTTGCAGAACTGCTCTCAGTGCTCTGTATCCAGGGT